ATAAGCAAGTCCATTGTTTCCACTTTTTTGTGACGATAGGGAATTAAGAATTAAGGTAAGTGAAATGAAGAGGAAAGACATGGAGAGCAACACTGCAGAAAGAGGAGAGCTTCTACCCCTTTAATTACTTCTCAGGGGACTTTAAAAAATATGAACACTGGCCTTTTAACTTCATTAGGAGTCTGTGTCTCAAACACAAGCCAAGCCTTCCTAGGGCTTGCCTACACTGGAAAAATACATTATGTTAATTGATTAACACGTAATGCTTAATATAACAGTCATTATAAACAAAGACTATTATGTTTAACATTTGTTGTTGTTGTTGACCCAATGTAACCCAGCTGCCAAACATGACAGTTCTTGTCTACACCAAGTGCTTTGTATCGCCTTAATTAACGTGTTCTAACACAATGTAATTTTGCAATGCAGATAAATCCTTTGGGGCATTTATTCTGTGAATTTAATTTTCTGTCTCGCCTATCTTGAATTCGCAGACACGCGCTGCTTCTGCCATCTCCCCTCCCCCCTTCAATCTTGGAGCCGCTATCATTGAAAATCAAAGAGACTTTGTAGGCGTCTTCATGAGTTGCTTCAACTTATAAACCAAAAGTACAATCAAACATACAATCATATTATGCCCCTTGATAGTGCCAATGTTACAAAAATGAAGTTGATCTCATAATCTAGGAAGGGTTATTTCACCCTAGAAAAGTGTCATCAAATACCAGACATTTCAAGTTTTTGCAGAATTATTGCAAATTTTGTAGCTGGGCAGATTGTCAGTCAAATTACACAGCCTATTCACAGCCACAGGAAAACGCTTTGCAGTGTTTTTCCAAAATTTACTTTCTCCATTTTTTTTACATAGATAAGCTTTGTCCTTACAAGGAAAAAAAAAATGTACAAAAAAAGATATTAATAAACACCGAGGTTAAGAGATCAGGAAGTTTATCTGGACTCCAGAAATTGTAACACACTCATGTTGCACACCTTGTATTTTAGTAGAAACTGCTTGCTACAAATCTCCTAAATTGTTAAGATGTGTTGCATGCAAAAGCTGCTTGGCTACATATTACCAGTTTATTTCAGCATCTTCTGAAGGACACAGATATTTGCCTAGATGGTGTTTGCTGCAGTCTGGAGTGACTATTAACATTCTGATAGAGTTGTATTAAAGCAACTGAAGGTGTGCAACATGGCTACACCAGCTCTCCTGGACTGTAACTTCACTGCCTGGAAATTTCTTTCCTTTTATCTGTTCATCTCTCAGAAGAGCATTGCATTTATCTTCATCACCTCTTCTTTTTTCAGTAAAGAAAAACAGGGATTGGATGGGGTAAGTGACATAATGCAGAAGTTTTCTGGGGCTTCAGACGTGTGACTTAGAAACTTTACAGCCCAGCTAAGGTGCTTCAGCCTAATACTTATCAACCTCTACTTTGCTCCTGTGAGACCCCACCTGGAATCCTGCATCCAGCTCTGGGATCCCTGGTACAAGAAAGACATGGAACTGTTGGAGCAGGTCCAGAGGAGACCACAAAAATGATCGAAGGGCTGGAGCACCTCCCCTGTGAAGACAGACTGAGAGTTGGGGTTGTTCAGCCTGGAGAAGAGAAGGCTCCGGAGAGACTTTGTAGTGGCCTTCCAGTACTTAGAGGGGGAGGGACTCTTTATCAGGGACTGTAGGGATAGGATGAGGGATAATGGCTTCAGACTGAAAGAGGGTAGATTGAGATTAGATATAAGGAAGAAATTCTTTACTGTGAGGGTGGTGAGACACTGGCACAGGTTGCCCAGAGAAGCTGTGGCTGCCCCCTCCCTGGCAGTGTTCAAGGCCAGGTTGGACGGGGCTTTGAGCAACCTGGGCTAGTGGAAGGTGTCCCTGCCCATGGCAGCGGGGTGGGAACTAGAAGCCCTCTGAAGACTCCTCTTGACGCAAGCTGCTCTATAAATCAAGATTGTGCTTGATCAATAATTAAGTTGCATATTTAACTACTTAGTTAAGGTTTGGTGTACTTAACTACCTCTGTTCCTAACCACCTGCTTTCCAAGTTAACCATATAACCACCACTTTAACGGAATCCACAAGCCCTCTGTGTTCAGCGCTTTATTTTTCCCCAAATTTACCGAATTTACCCGCAGACACCGGCACCGGTAACGCGGGGGGCGGGGCCAGGCG